TATGTAATTCATACTGTAGTTTCCTGAGCTAACCGTTGACTACATGGATGGGTTTTTGTTGGTAATGTTACATCTGTAGTTTCCTGAGCTAACCGTTGACTACATGGACGGGTTTATGTTGGGAATGTTACATCTGTAGTTTCCTGAGTTCACCGTTGACTACATGGATGGGTTTAGGTTGGGAATGTTACACCTGTAGTTTTCTGAGTTAACCCTTGACTACATGGATGGGTTTAGGTTGGTAATGTTACACCTGTAGTTTCCTGAGTTAAATCCCTATTAATTTCTGTAGAAGGAAAGTTTTTTTTCTGGGGGGTGGGGTGGGTGGGGGGTTGTTATATGAACGACTTAATTTTATATTCGGATTTTCTGTGTATCGTATTTATGTGTGAACTGTTATGTCTGCTCGTCTTACAACCACACTGTGTCTTGCCTGGCTATCGATCGTCTAATTATTTGTTTGACTCTGTACCTATCTTTCAGTTTTTCAAATTATTCACACAATACATCCAGGAATATTATTCTCTCACTTTCTTACACCTTCCGTCCATTAACATATATCGCCTACAGCTATAACGTACAAAATATTTATTTATATTTGTAGCAACCACATGGAGTATTTTGTGAAGATAAAAAGCCTGGACAAAAGCTGCCAACCTTTCCAGACTATGTGAAATTTGGGGCAGAAAGCGAGATTGAAGCTCCAGACAGAGTGAAACAACAACTAAAGGTAAAGATTCAGATTAGATTAAATTTGGGGCAGAAAGCGAGATTGAAGCTCCAGGCAGAGTGAAACAACAACTAAAGGTAAAGATTCAGATTAGATGAAATTTGGGGCAGAAAGCGAGATTGAAGCTCCAGACAGAGTGAAACAACAACTAAAGATAAAGATTCAGATTAGATTAAAATTGGCGCAGAAAGCGAGATTGAAGCTCCAGGCAGAGTGAAACAACAACTAAAGGTAAATATTCAGATTAGATGAAATTTGGGGCAGAAAGCGAGATTGAAGCTCCAGATAGGGTTATACAACGACTAAAGGTAAAAAAGAGTTTAATATAACGTTTAGAACAAGCGTTTTTTTTTATTTTGCCACTGGGTGACTTTCAATAAGTTTGATTATCGGTTTATTGATCTGGTTTGAAAGAAGAATCAAGTGATTAAATACTGAGCAGTGAGTTGAGAAGAGTTCATATCAACGTTTATATGAATATCGGTATTTTGTAGTTTGATATCTTAAAAAAAATTGAAAAACAGAAGGATCTTCTTAGAAATTTCCAAGGAGTTAACCTTTCCAGTTTTCTAGTGAGTTAAAAATCTTAGGTTTATTGGGAGTTAACCTTTCCAGTTTTCTAGTGAGTTAACCTCTTCAGTTTTCTAGGGAGTTAAAAAATCTTAGGTTTATTGGGAGTTAACCTTTCCAGTTTTCTAGTGAGTTAACCTCTTCAGTTTTCTAGGGAGTTAAAAATCTTAGGTTTATTGGGAGTTAACCTTTCCAGTTTTCTAGTGAGTCAACATCTTCAGTTTTCTAGGGAGTTAATAATCTTAGGTTTGATAGGGAGTTAACCTCTCCAGTTTTGCATGTTGTTTTGTAAATGACGTTGGTATTGTGTGAATATTTTGATAATGTAGTCATTTTATTAAGAGTTACTTTTACTTCTGGAACTTTAAGAATTACTGTTACATTTGATCCACCGTAGAAATTAAGATCTTGATATGACTTTCACAGTACACTTTATAATATCTTTATGGAATGAAACTAAACGTTTCGAATTTAATTTCAGAAACACGACTTTGAAATGTAAAAGATAATTATGTACGTTTTACTTCAAGCTATTAAGAGAATTGTCGAGGTAAGGTTGAAATCCCTCTGGTGGTTTGATTGAGCAAACTAGATGAGGAAAAAAACCTGGCATGGGCAGGTGGTTAGGGCACTCGACTGTAAATTTGCAGATTGCGGGTTCGAATCCCCGTCTCACCAAACATGCTCGCCCTATAAGCCGTGGGTTGTGTTATAATGTGATGGTCAATCCTATTAGTCGTTGATGAAAGAGTAATTCAAGAGTTGGCGGTGGGTGGTAATGAGTAGCTGTCTTCCATCTAATCTTTCACTGCTAAATAAGGGGGGGGGGAGATAGCGCAGATACCTCTCGTGTAGTTTTGCGCAAAATTTCAAATAAACCAAACCAAACCTGACAACTGTTGAATAAGGAGGCAAAGGTCTAGATTGACCCACCCAGGTCCAAACAAGAACCTAGATACCGATGAAACAGAAAAAACTATTGAATTACCATAACGTGATTGGTGGCGTCCTCTATATTTCAGTTTTGTGTGTGTGTGTGTGCAAGACTACAATTTGTTACACAAAATTGAAAATAAATAGTCATATTTAGTCACTAAAACGTTAACAGTACAGACATTAAAGTCCCCTAGAGTCCCTATAACTGGAAGTGGTGCTGTATAAAAGCGTGACTTGTTTACTGTCTTGATAAACTTAGCATGTGTATATTAGTCAGTTGCGTCTTAAAGAGAGTGATAACAACAATGACTCCCTGAAATCTCTAGCACAGTTATACAATATTTCGATCAGATCCTTGGATGGTAGGAGGTCTTAGTGGAATATTGTGTGTGTGTGTTATACTGTTAAATAACATTTGTTTGTTTCTTTGTTATACAAAGTTACATTAGGGCTATCTGTACACAGCAATCTTTATTTTCGAACTGATAGACTAAAATCAAAGGGGTCAACCTCAAACCCTTGATTGAATAGTGGGAATTGACTGTCACTCTTATAACGCACACATGGCCTAAAAAAAACAAACACAACCTGATTTAGCGATAATAGAGCCCGAATTATGGACTCTCGGAATGTGTGTTGAGAAGCACGTGTTAAAAAGGGCAAAGATTACTAGCATTGAGAAGCAAGTGTTAAAAAGGGCAAAGATTACTAGCATTGAGAAGCAAGTGTTAAAAAGGGCAAAGATTACTAGCATTCTAAATGTTGCGGTTTTTCCCGATGGAATTGATACTCAGTTTCCATAAGATGGCAAAGTCACTTATATACTGTTTGTATTGAACTTACAATTTAGATTCATAATATTTTATATTATATTATTTAGGTCTGGTATGATAAGAACCACCAAGTTCTTAGAACTGATGTAATTTCTATGGCAACATCTGGACCAGTAATCCCTGATTACGTTACTTACTTGAAGGATTACAAAGCAGGTGAGTGAGAGATTATCCGTTTGTGTACCTATCTGTCGATATGCAAGTTGTTTGTTCCCTCTATCTGTCTATTTAAGTTTCTTACTTACACATTCTAGCTTTTTCTTCTACTTCGTTCAGGTATTAGCTACGTGATTAATAAGATAACTGGAACTTGTACAATAAACGCCATGAAGGAAACTCCAGCACCTTCTGTATCTGAGATAGTGTGGGGAATGGATCTGAGCAGTAGCCAAGTGCAGTTCATTGGAGAGGTAATATTTTTATCTCAAAGTAGGATTATCTTTACTGTTAATTCCATTTATTCTGCATTTATAAAATACTACTTCCTGAGTTCTATCTTTACTGTTAATTCCATTTATTCTGCATGTATAAAATACTACTTCCTGAGTTGTATCTTTACTGTTAATTCCATTCATTCTGCGTGTATAAAATACTACTTCCTGGGATGTATCTTTACAATTAATTCTATTTATTCTGCGTGTATAAAATACTACTTCCTGGGATGCATCTTTACAACTAATTCTATTTATTTTGCGTGTATAAAATACTACTTCCTGGGATGTATCTTTACAATTAATTCTATTTATTCTGCGTGTATAAAATACTACTTCCTGAGTTGTATCTTTACTGTTAATTCCATTTATTCTGCGTGTATAAAATACTACTTCCTGGGATGTATCTTTACTGTTAATTCCATTTATTCTGCGTGTATAAAACACTACTTCCTAGGACATATCTTTACTGTTGATTCCATTTATTCTGCGTGTAGTAAAATACTACTTACTGGGATGTATCTTTACTGTTAATTCCATTTATTCTGCGTGTGTAAAACACTACCTCCTGGGATGTATCTTTACAATTAATTCTATTTATTCTGCGTGTATAAAATACTACTTGCTCGGATGTATCTTTACAATTAATTCTATTTATTCTGTGTGTATAAAATACTACTTGCTCGGATGTATCTTTACTATTCATGTTTATATTGGACGAGGTACACAGAGCCATAAATACATCTAAAGCTAGAGGACCTCCAAATTCAGATGATGTAAAAATCTACATTTTAAAGAACTTACGAATATAGACCTGTTGCAGTTAGTGTTGGAGTACAAACGGAGCTAGGCAACATGTGGAATACCAGAATATGGACTGATTCTATATCAAATCTTCAGTGGAACCCATAAAGGAATCACTCTCATTTCAAATTTTACAAAATATCATTGGCAAGATATGCTAAAAAAGGCTATATGTAGAAAACTTGCCCATCACATTGAATCACTAATATTATCATCATTACATGGTTATGGTCGTAGAAGAGTATTATCCCCTACGTATAGCGTGCCCTTAATTCATTGTTCATATCTTTATTATCAATTTTCCTAATTCATTGTACATACGACACTGTAAAATTCTATTGCTTCATTGTATTGTTTATTGTCTCTACATAATCAACAGTTTTATGATGTATAGTTTCCAATTATTAGTTACATAATATTACATTGTTTTATGGTGCATAAAATTCATATTGTGTAATTATTACTTGATCTTTTACGAAACAACACGTTTAGAATACTGTGTTTCGTATCCACAAATATGGTTGGAATACCTGAGGGGCGAGAGAAATTTTCATATATTTTAAATGTTTACAAAAACTTTAATATTGATGGTTGAGTTTCTCCAGTGAGAACTCCTAGACGGATGCCATTTTTCTGACGTTTCATCAAGTTATATTTCCAAACGTTTTAGAAACGAAAATAAGTGTTGCGTCAGCGAGGTCACGTGACTAGTATCACGCACCCGTTTTCTAGAAATATCCTGTTCCTTCGGGAGTGCCCTAGCATTTGCTAGATTGGGGGTGGGCTGGTATATATAAGATGGTTACGGCGTGACGGGACAACAGTGTAATGAGTAATTGAATGTATGCAGACAAAATATTGTTGGCCACGTGAGACGTGAATTATAGTGTTGTTATAGAGCGACTGTTGAAATTAAGTGTATCGGTAAAGTTGTATTCGGAAAGAATAAACCAGTTTTATTTAAGAAAGGACTTGTGTCGCTAAAGTTTCGTCGGAACGAATTTACAGAAAATTAACTAACGACTGGAGACGTAACAAATTGGTGTCAGAAGTGGGATAAAAAAAAAAAAGAAAACGGGTGGCATGATACTAGTCACATGACCTCGCTGACGCAACATAAGTTTTGTTTGTTTTAGCACAAAGCTACATAACCGTCTATGTCCTCCGCGAGGAATTTAACCACGGATGTTAATGTTATAAGCCCTCAAGCTTATTATTGATACCCGGAGGTACGAAATACAATAGGTGTCTAATGCATCTCATACATTGAATTATTACTTCCTGAAAGTTACATCCGAGATCTGTTTATCATAGAAGTTATCCAAGACCTTAGAACGTAAGCCTAAAAGTCAGTTTAGTCAAGGTTTAAATTATACCGATTCTATCGGTTCGTGTAAGCTCTAACAATCTAGAAAGTTAAAGAATAAGTTATCCTGAAAGACCTATATGCTCTTTATTACTGATTTTCCACGAGTCCAGTACAAAGACTGGTTGTTTCTAATTGCAATTTATCGACTTAAAACTGTGTGTGTATGTATTTTGTTTTTAAATTTAAGAAGCATTCAGTATCAATTCAGACTCCATTTTCTTAGGACAGACGAAACCTACATATCAAAATAGCAACATGATATTTCCTTTGGTATTTACAAGTTGAGAGGTGTTTTTATTTTCAAGCTTTATTTCACACAGTAAAATGTTTAATATATTTGTTATTTGTGATAAAAACATTTTATATATACTATTATTATTATGTTTTATTAAACTTACCCAGAGACCGTGTAGAGGGCAGCAGTGTCTTGTCTGGACAGCAATGACTAAATTAAATGAAAATACACAAGAGGTTTCAGACATATATATATTGAAGGTAAGAACAAATCATTTTTGGTTTAAGCTGTTATTAGCATTCTGTGAACATAACATTAACTACATTCGTGTTTTCCTATATTATTTTTCTTGTTGAATTTCCTTACTAAATTTAGATTGTATTTTACAGGGTAGTTTCTTCTTCTACATAGTGTTTGTATCGGAAATTCTCGCAAAGCTTCTCAATGTCTGTCTGCTCTAGTCATCTTTAATTTTATACTCGCAGATTAAAGGGAAGGTCACCAGTTAACCTCTCCCATCTTCAACTCTTGGGCTACTCTAAATGGATAATGAGATTCGACCATCATTCTTATAACGTACACAGACATGTAACGAATTACAAACTCTCGAATTCACAGTCTGGACACGTCAATCACTAAGCCACGCTCGGCTAAATACCAAAGAAACCATAAATAAGAAATTTGTAATGCTTGAATATAAACATTTCACCCAACTACATTAAAATCAGAACAGATGATACAGTAGTAACAATTGACAGTTGGGGTAGCTGATATAGTAGTGACGGTGGATACAATAGTGAAAACTGATGACGTCAACATGACGTTCTTGAATAATATGACATTGCCATGGAATTCTTTATAGAGTATGAATTGTTTTCTTTATTTTGTTTGCTGGGAACCGTTACTAGTTTATAACAATGGCATAACAAAATTGAACAATGGTGTAGGCAAGTTTGAAAAGTCACGTGACAAGACAATGCTGTGGTTACTACCATTGTTAAACGAACAAAAGCTTTGTATCAACTCTAGTGAAAATAAAGACAGAAAACAAGGAAATAACTTGTCTGAAGAAAACAATATTTGATTAGTAATGGATACGTCACTCAAACTATCAATTCTTTGGTTGGATGATGTTTGAGAGAGTTTGTTAAAGAACTGGGTGAAGAATTAACTAATTATTTCCTTAGGGTGCTGTTTGAGAGAGACTGAAAAAGGATTGGGTGAAAAATTAATTAATTGGTTGGTTAGGGTGCTGTTTGATAAAGTATGTTAAAGAACTGGGTTAAGAATTAATTAATTCTTTGGTTAGGGTGCTGTTAGAGAGAAGAGAGAAAAATAATTGTTAATAATTGACTAATTCTGTGTTACTCTTTCCTAATGTTAATTAATTGTAACTAACTATTGATGTTAAGTCTGTATTCACATATTAATATATTTAATTTATCTCGTCACAGTAAACATTTAAATTCGTTTTTTTAGGACACAGTGGTGGAGAACGATGCTGTTAGAGTTTCATCTATTCCAGTTGGTGTTAGAGTATACATTGCTAGAAACAATCAGGTGAGTTTGTCAATCTGCTCCCCAGTGGTACAGCAGTAAGTCTGCGGAGTTATAACGTTAGAAACCGGATTTCGATACCTGTGGTGGGCACAACATAAATAGCCCATTGTGTAAATTTGTGTTTAACTACAAACTATCTATTATCCTCTTTTATGATAGTAGCTTTCCAAGAATTGAGAAAAATCCTGCACGAAAAGATAATTAAAAAATGTTACTTTCATTAGCAAGATTGATTTCGTTTAATATATGTATTTTTATTGTTATTAATTTATTAATATAATTTTATTATAGGGATTATTTTACATTACTAGCTTAGTGTGTGGATCTAGGACTAAACTAAATCTCATAAGTTTGCCGAACCTGTTGCATTATTATTGGGATGATGACCGAAAATGTCGTTAACAGTGAGGGAAATGAACTGATGTAATAATGCATACTAATCTGTGTAAGTAAGAAAATAAGAGCAGTGTATTTAATTAGCTGTACTCATAACTAGGTTGTTTTGTTTCTGATCTATGTCGGTTGTTAGCTTCTAATAAAAATTAATATTAATACTTTATTGAAAATAGTAACTAGGTTTTTAAGTTTAGGGGATTACATCACGAGAAGGAGCGTTACCCTTGTGGCGAGTTTCACTTCTTAGAAAGACTGGTAATGAAGAAGAATAAAAGCTGTTGTTGCGGTCGTGTTGAAAGAGAAGTCAAAATAGCGGGCTTTACAGTTGTCGATGTTAGATGTAACGTTTTAGTTGACATTTCAGAGACAAGTTTCTTTCTTTAGTTCTTCATTTTATTCTTTAAAGAGGGATTAGTTTTGTTATTATAACTTACATTACGAGAAAATTTTTGGAAACTACTAAATTGTTGACATAACTAAGCCTATAATGTCACTGTTGGCTCCGGTAATGAATTGTCTACAAGGTATAACTCAGCAGATATTATCATATTTCAGCTCATTAGGCTTGAATGACTGTTAATTAGTGATGAAACAGAAACGCAAACAATTGAGGATAAAGACAAAGTGCCATTTTTATGATAGACACTTCAAGGTGTCCTCTTCACATGTATTTAAAATATATAATTTAACAAATCTTTTCTGCCGATTATCAAGACATTATTATTTATTAAAACGTTTCAACCGATTATCAGGACATTATTCTTTAATAAGACGTTTCTATTGATGATTAGGAGAGTATTTCTCATTAAAACATTTTTTTTCTTCTGGCTACCATGACAATAAATAGTTTTAGGTTAAGAATAATGTTGCGTCATCGAGATCATGTGATTCTCACGGTCTCTACTTTCTAGAATTATCCTCTACTTTGGCGAATGTTCTAGTTCTTCC